TCCAATGGTGTGTCTGGCCTGGCAGGTAGGTAGGGTGGCCTGACCAGAGGCCCTTGTCAAACTGATCCCAAAGTGCTCCCATACAGCACTGAGTCCAAAGTCACGGTGATGAGAGAAGATGCCTCAGGGGAAGCCTGGAGTCAGGGTGAGGGGATGTCTCAGGCCAGGCTGGGCCCCCCTCAGGCCATGTGTGGAGTCCATGTGGGAACAAGTCAGGCATGTGTGGGGCTGGGAGGGAGGGGTCAGGTCTGTGAGGGACACATGTGGGGACCACGGGGGACAGGTTAGGCATGTACAGGGATATATGTGAACTATAGAGCCAGGACCCCTGCCTCCAGCAGGGTGGAGCTTAGGAGTCAGTGCCCCCCAAACCATTAATTCCCTAATGAGGGTGGGAGGTCAGGGGTCCCATCTCAGGGTAGGTGAGCATTTGCTGATTCAAAACCCCAGGTTTCAGGGGCAGGGACTATGTCGTCAGCATTAGGAACCCTCCACAGACTGAAAAGCTCAGGGCTCTTTGCTTTGGATACACAGGAGGGAGAGAGGTTAGGACAGAAAACCCAGTTAGAGCTGAGCTAGAGCCACTCCCAGAGGGGAGCCAGGGAAACCAGCAGGGCTTCCTGGGTCATAGAGATCTGAGTTGAAACCCACCTCTCTTCCTCCTGTGCTGTGTGACTTAGCACAAGTGAAAGAACCTCTCTGGGCCTCACTTTCCTCATCTGCAAAATGGGGATAATACAACTACCCGTAGGGCTGTTGGGAAGGTTATATGATATAATCCATGTGCAGAGCTAGGTTAAGTAAGAGTGGACTGGCCAGGCTCAGTGTCAGTCAGTAAACGCGGCTGAAACCTTGCGGAAATAAACCCGAAATGTGGTGCAGTAACCCAGGTCTCCTCACTGGAGACTCTTTTCATAGCTTGCAAAATGTCAGTTGGTCTTCTCCAACCTCCAGAGAATCAGGTGCCTTCCAGTGGGAATGAAAGACAACTTCTGCCAGAACCCACCCAGGCCCCATGAATAAATATTTTTGAAAACTCTGGTTTGGGAGGGGGAAGGGAGATCTGGTTTGAAAGTGCCCTAAGTTATCAGCAGCCCTTACCCACACCTGGAAGGCTCTGCCGGAGGCAATTCCATAGAAACTCCTCCCGTCAAGGACCTATTCCTATGACAGGTGAACTCGCTGCTCCTCATAACCCCGGGGGAGGGGGGGCGGGGGGGGGGGGACACCAGACTCCACCTCACAGGAGCCACAAATTTAAATGTTCACAAGGGTTTGGTCCCAAGTGAAACAGCATGGAGTGATGAGGAGCTGGGCACTTCCACTCAATGGTTGCCTTGTGGGAATATGGGGGGAGGGAAGTGGCATTAGGACAGAGCCCAGACCTGCCGGCCTTCCTTCCTCCCCTCCATCACAGATGCCTCCTAAGATGCCCTTCCCCTGAGTCTGGTGTATTAGTTGTCTGTTGCTGCATAAAACATTAGCACAAGCTTAGCCCCTAAAAACAAGACCCATTAATTATCTCACAGTTCTGTAGGCCAGAAGTCCAGGCAAGCTCAGCTGAATTCTCTGCTTAGGGTCCCACAAAGCTGAAATCAAGGGGTTGGCCAGGCTGGGCTCGTATCTGGGAGCTCTGGGGAAGATCGGCTCCCATGCTTATTCTCATTGTTGGCACAATTCAGTTCCTCGTGGCTGTAGGACTAAGGTCCCCATTTTCTTGCTGGCTGTCAGCTCCTCTAAGCCCCTCAAGGACTCTCCTTGGTCCTTACACATGGCTCCTTCCATCTTCAAAGCCAGCAAAAGTATGTTGAATCCTCCTCCTGCTTCAAATCTCTCTGAATCTGCTACTGACCAGAGAAAACTCTGCTTTTAAAGGGCTCATGTGATCAGACCAGGCCCATGCAGATAATCTCCCTTTTGCCATATAAGGTAACATAACCACAGGAGTAACGGTCCATCATAGTTGAAGACCCCACCCACATTCAAAGGGGCGGGGGTTATACAAGGGCAAAGGTCACTGGAGGGTCCTAGAATCCTGCCCACCACACTCAGCCTCCAAGGTGGGGTGGAAGCATCCCTCACTCTTAGTCCAGCACCCCCTGACTTCTGTGAGACCTTGAGCCAGTCACCTCCCATCTCTGGTCCTCAGTTTCCTCATCTGTAAAATGGGGCAAGGGACTGGATAAAATCTACATCCCTCCCCTGGCTCACATACTAACTGTGATGCAAGAAGACGACTTCCGACCCTTCGGACTGCAGGGCCCCTGCCCAGGGAAGAGCAGGACTGCATTACTCTTCCAGCAACACCCCCTGCAGGCTTTCGAAAGTGCCTTACTAGGGAAGGGCAGTAGCTGGGACAGGTGCTCAGCACCGCCAAGGTGCCCTATGTAAGAGGCTCAGCCACCCAGCTGAGCTGGGCTGTGGGGAAGTGGAGAGGCTGCTTCTGTTGGCCAGAGACCATGGGCAGCTGTGAGGCCCCACAGATGAGGATGGGTCCCTCCTGGAGCCTGCACAGAGCGAAGTGGCCTGCACCTAGTCGGGGGAGTAGGGCAAAGACCAGGTCAGGTGGGCAACCAACCCCTTCTGCTCCCCCCACCTCTCAACTGGAGTGGGCCTACAAAATCCATGTCCCAAATCCATCCTATCTGACCCCAGTCTTGGCCTCTGGGTCTCCAAAAGGCCCTTCTCGGGCTCTTCCTGTCCCTCCCACCCAGCCCTAGCTCGGCAGGGGTAATTGATCCCAGCATCCTGGACCCTCTGGGCTATTCCTGCCGACGGAGGGGGGGCCTCAAGAGCCTCTCATTGGGGAGGCCCAATCAATCACCCCGCATTCCCAGCCCTCACCCCCAACAGTAAGACAGCCGCCCCTTCTCTCAGGCTCCCCTCCAGTGCTCCCCAGGCTCCACTTTCTGATCTGCATGTGAGCTCCCCTTCAGGGCCCCCACCCCCCAGGCCCCCATCAAGGCCTAGCAGAGGGGCTGGAAGGAGACCCTCCCCAACTCCATCCAAGCGTGGGAGCTGGGTAAGAGGCGGGGAAATGAATATTAATTTATCATGATTAGGCGAATCCGGCAGGGAGAGCCGATTCCAGAGGAGGCTAAAAAGATGAATTTCAGCAATAAAATTAAATAAGGACGGACGGGCGGCCCCTCCTCCCTCCTGCTTTGCTGATCTCTCTCTTTCTCACAATTTATGAGGCCAATTATGAAGATGAGGTTGGAAGTTCCTGGAACTTCACTAAATGCAAACGGCGGTCCCTGCTGTTCCCATCAAATTAATTAACCGCGCGCTATTGATGGCCGCTCAAGGCTGACGCAGGCGGCCCGCCCTGTGGCCGCCTCCACGGACACAAGGACCCAGAGTCCAGAGCTCAGCCAGGGCTCCGCCACCTTCTGTGGTCCCTTCTCAGCACTACAGGGGACTCCAAGGACTCCCCCTCCAACCCCAGGCTCTGCCTGAGCCCTGGATAACCTAGGGGCATGCACACAGAGGTCTAGATAGACGGGACACACTGACACATAGCCGGGTGCCCACACACGTATACAAACACAAAATCATGAACACACAGCACACAAACACAGGGCGCGGGAAGGTACATTAGGCACACAGGCAAACCAACACACAGTGAAACAGACACAGGCACAGTGACAGCTGAGCTGAGGGAACCGGAGCCCCATGGGTGAGGGCAGTAGGGCTGAGGGGAGCCTTGCTGTGGGAGGCACACTGTATCTGAGGCCACGGGCTGCCCTGTCAGGGCCAGGCCTGAGTCCAGCAGGGCTAAGTGCCAAGCAGAGGTTCCACTCAAGCAGCAAGTGGTGGCCCCTCGCCTGGAGCCTGTACTGTCCTCTGGTGACATCCTTAGAGCCCTCTGCACAGTCCCTCAACCCCTGGGTCCGCTCCTCATCTCCGGGGCCTTCTTCAGGAATGTTCCCTCTAGCTCTTTCTCTGGGGCTAAGCTTCTGCACTGACCTCTATTGTAGGGGACCAGAGCTTGCAGAGCCCCCAATTCAACAATGGAGGTGAGGTCTGGCCCAAAGTCTCAGGCCAGCTTTGGGGCTTCAGCCCTGAGGGTCCCCCAGTTCCAGAGCTCAGGGGTTCTGGAAAACTAGCTGGCTGGTGCCCAGACTGAAGGGCAGAGTGGACACAGGGCTAAAGGTCTTGGGGCTGAGCCGATGCTAGACCTGGGGCAGCTCCCGGGGTCGGCAGAGTCTGGGTAGCAGCAGGTGCCCCAACAGCTGTAGCTGCCATGTGAGGTCAGTCTTTGAGGTGGTGGGGAGGCCTTGCAGAGGAGCTCTCCTGCTGCGGGGAGTGGAGAGAGGGAGTGAGGCCAATGTCTTCTCTAAGTTCTAGGCCCTAGTCCTGCAAGAGGCAGGCCTTCCATTTAAAGGGACAGGAATGCCATAACTCTCCTGTTAGAAGCAGGACAAAGGGCCTGGGTTTTCTATTCCCAGCTTGGATCTTGGAGGGTAGGACAGGGCTGGGCTTGCCCACCTTGCCATGCCCAGTCCAGGCCTGCGAGGCCCCTGGCCCTGTGCCCACAACTGCTCCCCTACAAGCAGCAAGAACCCAGGAGAAAAGTTTGGCCTTATCTTACTCCCCTTTCAGTGCAAAGTCTAAGGCTAAGGCCAATGTCATCACTCCAGGCCCTGGGAGATGAGGCTCCCGGCTTGGCAGGGTTGGGGTAAGCAGCCCAGAGAGCACTATATCTTAGGCACAAAGTGACAGAGTGAAACTGACATTAACAGAGGCTCAGACTGAGCACGTGGCAGTCAGTGGAGAGGCTGGGGCCCAGGGCTTTGCCTACCACCTGCCCCTTCCCTCCTCCAGGCATGGGAGGCTCCCTCCCCTTCCCACACCCCACTGCACTTCGGGGGACCTTCTCCACCTCAGGGCAGGGCCTGCTCACACCCACGGTCCCTCCGCTCACTTTGTACAGGGAGAGATCAAGACTTATCCAGTCTATGGGTTCTCTATTGTTGCAGTAATAAATTACCACACACTTAGCGGCTTAAAACAACACAGTTATTACTGCACAGTTTATTGTTTCGAAGTCAGACATAGGTCTCACTGAATAAAATCGAGGCATTGGCAGGGCTGCATTCTATATAGAGGCTCTACAGTAGAATCTGTTTCCTTGCCTTTTCCAGCTTCCAGAGGCTGCCTACATTCCTTGGCTGGTGGGCCCCTCTCTCTTCAAAGCCAGAAACACTGCATCTCTCTGGCCTCCCTTCCACTGTCACATCTCTCTCTCTTGTCACATCTCTCTCTGATTGTAATGGGGAAGGTTCTCCACTTTATTTTTCTTTCTTTTTTGGTGAGGAAGATTGTTGCTAACATCTCTGCCAATCTTCCTCTATTTTGTATGTGGGGCACCACCACAGCATGGCTTGATGAGCGGTGTGTAGGTCCACACCCGGAATCTGAACCTGCAAAGCCCAGGCCATCGAAGCAGAGCACACGAACTTAAGTACTACGCCACTGGGCCAGCCCCAGGTTTTCCACTTTAAAGGACTCATGGTTAAATTGGGCTCACTGGATAATCCAGGATAATCTCATCTCAAAATCCTTAATCACGTCTGCAAAGTCCCTTTCACCTAGTTAGGGAACACATTCACAGGTTCTAGGAATTAGGATGTGGGTATCACTTTGAGGGACCATTATTCTGCTGACCCCACACGTGGCTGTCCAGGGACAACTCTGGCTCAAGCACAGAGTGACGACGGCTGGGCTAAGGGCAGGAAGCAGGCTTGTGGGGCTCCTCTCCTCCTCCTCAGGACCACGCAGTGATTGGGTGGTGGTTTGGGGTGCTCAGTTGCTAGACAAGACACCAGTTCCCACCAGAGCTCTGAAATTCAGTCTCTCTTTCCAGAAGGATGGGGCACTGGCTGAGAGCCCACCCAGGAAGAAGGGGCAGGCTCTGTAGTGGCTGGGGAGCCCTCAACACACTCTGCTTAGTTTGGACTCAGAGAACCACCCCTCCCCCAAACTGGGCAGCCTTTCTCCAGGCACAGAAATCCCACCATCAGCTCTTCTCCTGGGCTTGTGTGTCAGATTGAGCAGCCAGGGGTATACCAGCCCCAGGATGGGTCTGGAGGGTGTAGGCACTCTTCCTTTTTATCCATGACTTCCTGCTGCCCTTGTCAGGAGGTAGGACCAGGAGTTTGTATGGTTTGAAGGGCGGACTCCAGATTTCTGAGTCTTCTGGGAGAAGGAGTTAAGGCAGATGGGGTGGGTGTGAGTGGGTGTCAGGAATGGGGGCCAGGCCCCTGGTTTCACAGAAGTCAGCACTATCCCTCCCAATAGTCTGGGAACTTGCTGTGTGTAGGAAGGCGTTAATTGGCCAAGTTACCCCGTGACCCACTGGTTCCCTCTTCTCCTAGCCCTGGAGGCCCCATTCCTCTGGGCCTGGAGAGGCTGCTGGGCAGGCTGGGAACTGAAGCAGGAAGCAAAAGGAGAGAAGCAACATCCACGTTTGGAGCCGGACACCCCAGGCTTTGGGCTTCTGCCAACTCCAACCTTTGCTGGTGGTGGGCACTGAGGGCCCAGTCCACAGGAGAACAAGCAGTAAGGAGGGACCAAAAGCAGCCCTAGCACCTGGGGGACACAGGGATTTCACAGCTCTTCTCTTCCACTCCAGGCCCTGGGCAGCCAGCCTCCCTGGGAGTAGACACTCTGAGGGAGAGGCCCGCCCCTCCCAGCGGTTTCTGGGCCTTTGATGTGGCTGTCTCTGGTTGGTAGTGAAAGGGGCACCCCAGACTCCACGGCTTTTGATTCCTTCTCTGCATGAGCAGTGCCGCCAAGGCCCCATGGCTTGGACTTCAGGGTTCTGAACTAGAGTTGGGGGGCCGATTCAGGCTGCTGGGATCCCCTGACTGACACCAAGCCAACAAAAGCCAGCTCTGGGACTCTGCAAGTTACTGAGGGAGATGCAGGACTTGGCACCCGCCCCCCACCCTGCCTCACAGCCAGCACTCAGGTTTGAGCCCGTCTCTGCAGCCTGAGCTCCCCTCAAAACCCCCATGTCACGAAGCCTCTCCAGGCTCCCTGCTGCTCCAGTGCAGCCTCCTCCTTCTGCCTCTGGGCCCGTTATTCTTCATACCTGGTATGCCCAAGCTTTCCTCCACTCCCCTCACAAATTCTCCCTGTCCCACAAGGTCCAGCCTCCAAAAACCATCCTGATCCAACGAGCTGGACTTGCTCCTCTCTGCTCTATCAAACTAAGCCCCTAAGCTGGACTTCCGTCCTCTAGCAGCCCGGCCTTCTCCTGACTCCTGGCATACAGCATCCTCTCTAACATGTGTTCCTTAGTTGTTCCCAGAGCCGCTCACCCTACTTCAAACAGGCTATTTCCCTGCCAGGCCCCCCTTCCTCTCCTCCAGGCAGCCTTCCCTGACTGCCTCAGCCCTGTCAGTGGCACAGAGATCACCATTTAGCTATTCCTAATGAGTCCCATCACCGTTATTCATGTCCCCAGATAGCCTGTTCTAGGGCAGGGCTCACAGGAGATGCTGACGGGTAGATACGAGCACCTAATGCCTGACTCCATGAATTCTCTCTTTTAACGTCCACCCTACCACTTTCTGAGTTCAGGAGTTGCCTCGGGCCTGGCCTGTGTGGAGAGCAGTTCACTTGCCTTTCTGGGCTCTCATTCAGCTCCCATCTCTATCCCTGCCCAGGAGTCAGATGGCAGGTAAGGGCTGCAGCAGCTCAAGACACCAAGCAGGTTAAATGTCAAATGCACTTTACTGGGCCCCTGAGCCTTCAAATGCTGTCCTCACCAGGCCGGGGGTGCCCCCACGACACACCTCCAGCTGCACAGGAAGTGGGGTGGGTGGAGGGAGTACATGTGGAATGGCTCATTCTCCTCTCCAAGGGGTCTTGGGTGATGCTGGGCGACAGCTGCTTGCTTCTCCCCCTGCAGCCCCATCCCACCCCCAGCAGCTAGACCCTCCTTAGGGCAGGGAAGTATGAATGCCTGGGCCTTCGGCACAGGAAGCTGGCTGCAGACCAGCCGCCTGTTCCTGCCTAGAATGTGGCCAGGGGCCAGGGCCAGTGGTGAGGTAGAAGGGAAAGCAGCATGCTCCTGTCAGGGAGAGGGCTGTGCACACCCTGGCAGCCAGGCTGGCCCTTTCCCTCAGGCCCAGGGAGCTGGCAGTTGAAGCAGTGAGGTTCAGCCAGCTGAGGGGAGAAGGGAGTACTGGATGGCCAGGTGGGGTGCCGGTCCAGTTTGGCATCCCCTCCCCTGCAGCCATGGGTCACCAGTCCCGCTCAGCTGGTTCTCGGTAGGGCAGGCCTAAGAGCCTGAAGACATCCTTCTCAGTTGGGGTGGGCAGCACTCGGCCAGACGCCACCTTGAGGCCTTGGGTGTTCCGGACCACAGCTGTGCTGAGGGCATGCTCTGATAAGCTCATGCCCTTGGTCTTGGCCAGAGCCCGCATGGAGCGGTTGAAATGGGCGGAGCCAGTGAAGTAGAGCAGGGCGCAGGCAAACTCGCTGTAGGGCACAACGATGATGTCCAGTCGTCGGTGCCGCCGCCCTGGCCCTGGGAGCTGGCACACACCCAGGTACTTCTGCTGCTGGCCGTTCTCCTCCTGGCTCACTAAGTCATCAGTCAGGAATCCTGGCCCAACACAGGATGGCTGCTAGGAGCACAGGGAGCCAGGCCCTGGGCCGTCCCATCCTCCCAGATCTTTCCTGATCACCCCTGGGTCCTCTAGCCCCAGCTCATCCATGTATTTGCTGGGTGACCTTGCCCTCTCTGAGCCTGTCTCCTTATCTGTAAAATGATAGTAATTCCTCCCCAGGCCCCAACTAGTGTCACAGAAAGATCAGATGAGACCTTCAACCTGCAGGTATTACTGAGCACCTCTGGGTAGGTGTGGGGAGCTGTTTCTTCTCTTCCCTGAAACGGCTTTGGCCATAAAGGAAAGGGGGGGTTCTCACAAAGCAACCTTTCCCTGCTTCCTGCCTGGAGACTGCAGCTTTGAGGCTCTCCCTCCTGGAGGCCGTCCAGCCCTTCCCTGCCCTGTGCCAACCTGTGCACCCAGAGATGGAGCTTATACCTTGCTGCCGAAGGCTGTCAAGGAGGCGACTGAGGATGCCCTGGTGAGATCGGCCATCTGGGTGAGTGAGCAGCACGTCCACATCACCACAGGTTGCTTTCCCCCGTCTGTACGAACCACATGCCACACACAGCAGCCCAGGGTTGAAGGCCTGAGCTGATTTCTGGACCTGGGAAAGAACAGTGAGGGGGTAAGGGGCTGTGGGCCTCCAGCCCTGTGAGGAGTTCCTTTCTCACGGCAGCCCGAGGGCATTCCCTGACCCAGGACCCACATCCCCAGCTGATGCCCCAAGCCAATCCTTGGATGCACGATGAGGGAATAAGCCCCAAGGAACAGAGGCCAGAGATCTACCCTGGGGAGCAGCTGTTCTGTAGCTTCACTAGGACAGAAGATGCCACTGGAGGCAGCCTGAGGAGAGACAGAAGAAGATGTGTACTCTGATTCTGAGGGCAAGCACTGATCTTTCCCTCTAGAGCTCTTTAAGAGAAAAAAGACAACTCTCTTGGCCCCTGCCCCAACCCAGATGCCCAGGCCTGTGAAACTCCACTTAGGACATAGGGCCAGGTACCTGGAAGCCCTCAGCCAGATCTCGGCAGCCCCAGGTATCTACGGATTTGGAGCTAACGGCAGTGTGTGAATTGGGGCTTGAGGCCTGAGCAGCTGGCTGACAGGGTGCCCTGGGCCCAGGTCTGAGGGAAAATGGAACCCAGAAATATAACTGCACCTGCAGGAAAGGAAAGGAAAGAAAGCAAAGAGGGAGGCAATTCTGAGCCAATGCCCACATTCTTACTTAGAGGAATGGGGCTCAGGGGGGAGGGGGCTGAGCCAGAGGGGACTGTCAGCTGAAGGATCATCTCTCATTGAGGGGGATAAGCCCATTAGCTTCCACCCCAGAGACATTGAGGCCTTTCATATGCAGATGGCCTCCCGACTCCACGCCAGGACACTGAGATTTCTGGGGCCCTGGATACCCGCAGCCAGGACACCTCAATTCTCCTGACAGGCTGGCTCTGCTAATCCCTTCACTCCCTTCTTGAGCCTCCCAAGAGGATGGGAGGAGGCCTAGGATGAGTAATCCCATCAAAAACTCCTAAGGCTGGAGCCCTTAAGTCGGGGAAGCTGGCCAGGTGGGAAGCCACTTCTGTTCCAAGGGGCTGGAGGCCAGAGGCTCACTGAGGCATTCTCCGTGCCCAGATACCGTGGCTGAGTGACAGTGTCATCACCAGCACCAAGGCCTGGTGTCAGGTGGACAAAGGGGCCTGTCCATCCATCCTGTGCCAGCCTCACAGTCCCACGGCCTAGAGTAGAGCTGGAGGCTGATTTCAACTAAGCTGGGCCAGAGTCTCCATGGAGTCCTCCCTATCAGAATCCTAGACCAAAGGGAGCAAACTTGCCCATAGCAACCAGCCCCTAATCCTAATGCCATTTGAACAAATGATACATCTAACCCTAACTCTAAACCAAACCCTAATCTTGCCCAAACCTTATTTCTAGGATAACCACAATCTGAAAACCATCCAACACAAAGAAAACCCTACTCTTAATTCAGGCCTAACCTTAACTCAACTCTTGATCTAGCTTTCCTCTAACCCCAAAGCTAATCCTACTGGCACTGTGTTTCTACACCAACTCTAACCCAAACCCTGAACCAGCCTTGGGTGGGTTTCAGAAGGCCCCTACATCTGGAAAGAGATATAAAACTTTGCACATTTATACAAATTCTGGAGAGAAAGAGCCCATAGTTTTCATCAGGTTCTCAAAGAACCTCTGCCCTGACCCACCCTAACCTAGCCCAGTTCAAACCCCCATATCCTCAAGCAGTTCTGATCATAATCCCTCTCTAACCCAGCCCTAACATTAACCCAGTCCAAACGCCATTCTAGCATCTAAGCCAACGCTTGCTCTGCCTAACCGCTGAGAACCCTTATCCAGAGAGCTGGTATTGCAGTCCTTCCAAACAAAAGCCACCCACCCCTCCTCTGGACCTGCAGCTTCAGTCTCAACTTGCTCTTTCCCCTAGTCCCAACCTCTGGTGAACTACAGCTTCCTCTGCCCACTGGGGTCCCAGCTGAGGGATCAGGAGTTCTTGGCTTCAAGCCAGTCCCTGCTATAAGGGCAGCACCTGGCTCTCCTCACTGTTCTGGGACATGTGCTTACTGTCTGCTCAATCTCTGTGGCCTCCTCCCTGGGTATGCGTTCCAGGAAGTCATTGTAATGCTTCAAGCCAATGGCCTGCTGGGTAGTCAAGGAGGCCTGGTTGCGGATGTCTTCTAGGCTCCGGAAACCCTGGAAAAAAGAAACCAGATAGGAAGGCTATGAGGCTCCATGACCAATGAAGAGACAGTGAATGAGCACACACACAAGGCTTCCACCAACCCTAGACTCCAAAGAAGGCCTGAGGCAGGACCAACCCCAGGAGCGGCTGGGTCTGTAATACACTGGGACTCGGGAAACGCAGGGAGCATGGAAGACACGCCCCCATTCAGCCCTGCCACCATCCTAAAACACTGGTTCATGATTCCATCAGACTAGGGGTGATTCTGTACGTGGCCAGGTTTGGGAACTAGTGATTTGGATACTCAGCCCTGAGGCCTGGTCTCCTCAGGAAGGCCTTTGCTGGTCTGTGGGACAGAGAAACATACTTCCTATCTCTGCCTACACCACAGATTAACGCCTCAAGGATACCAAGTTCTATGAGCCAGGAGAGGGGTCTACATGAGCCCTGGTCCCCTTGAAAAGTGGTCTCCCTATAGTCTGGCTTCATTCCCATCAGAGCACAGGGTAATTTAACTGTGAGACAAGTTCTGAAATATAGCAAAACTGAAGTAGGGGCTGGGAAACAGTATGACCTGATGGTACCACATCTGGGCAGTCTTGGTTCCAGCTCCCCAGATGTTGGAGAAGAGCTCCAAGATAGGCACACTCTCGCTGATATGATCCAGCTTCCGTAGATGCCCACTCTCTAAGATCTCTATGATCTTCTCAGCCATCCGCTTTCCAATCCCGGGAATACCGCAGGCCTCCTAGAGGAGGAGGAGGCAGAGGCAGGAAAGAAGAGTGAGAAGATGGGACGGGTAGAGCCAGCAGTGGGGAAGCTGACTCCTTTAGCAGATGTATGAAGAAAAGCCAGCCTGGCCAGTTGGCAACTGATGGCCGTGTAAAGCTCGGGCACAGTTGAAGATGAGAAGTGTGGATGGAATGGGCTGCGTACTTTGTCTTTTGGTTCCCAGAGGGATGGGGATCAGCAGAGGAAATAGAGAAAAGGCAATAATGATGATACTAATCACCACCATCATCACAATAGTGCAAGCTAACATTTACTGAGGGCTTACTGTGCATCAGGTCCTGCATTACAGAGATCATCTTTAGTCTTCACAGGAACACTGAATTTGTTACTACTGTTAGTCCCTTTTTACTGATGAGGAAATTGATGCTCAAAGGGTTTAAGTAACTTGCCTAAAGTCACACAGTTAGTGAATAATGGGAATCAGAATTCAAACCCAGGTCTGTTGGCCTCCAGATTCTAAACTTTTAAAAAACTTTTTATTATGGAAAAAAATTCCAAAGTAGAGGGAACAGTATAATGAACTGCCAAGTACCTGTCACCCAGCTTCTATAATTATCAAGATTTTGTCAATCTGCTCTCATCAATCCCCCCATTTTTTGCTTTTGTGCAAGTCCCAGACATCACAAAATCTTAACCACTCCACCTGATCTCCATTTGTGACTGATGCCTCCACCAATCTCTGGCCAGTAAAGAGAAGACCTCCCCCTTCCCCTGCGTACCCTGCCCTGGCTGTCAGATACCTGGTAGGAGGTGACAGGCTTGTGGAAGCTCTTGAGGGCATTGATGGCCTTGGCATAGCCCAGGGCCCTCCACTTGTCTCCCTGAACACTGTAGGCTTTAGCCAGCACTTCCAGTTTCTCTGTGATGTGACGGTTGTGGTTGGTTGCCTTCTGGCTTGAAGGCTGTGCACAGACCCACTTATCCAGGCCCTTCGGAGCTGGGCAAGGCTCACCATCTTCCTCAAGGAGGGTAGGGTAGTGGCCACTGATCAAGGCTTCCAGATCAGCTGCGCTAACCTGGGTCTCTTCCCCATCACTGATTTCATCATCAAAGCCAGGCTTGAGGTAGGGAAGGAGAAGAGACAATCAATTCCTGCCCCAGTGATGAGGGCTCCTTGAGGGTGGGGTTGAATCTCCTAGTCAGACCCAAGAATGAGGCTGGGTCTTTTGTGCAGACATGGGTCTCCTTAAGTGTGGGGCTGATTTCCATTCAGCTTCCCCCAGAGCCCAGCCCTAGCATCCCCAGTGGTACATGGCAAATGCAGGAGCGATGAGGGTTGGGAAGAACTAAGTGGCTTCATAATAAAGAGAACCCTCCTCTCTCAGGGGCCTGGAACTTTCTGAACCACCACCAGGCCCTCCCTGCTTCTGTGATCTAATTTCCAGGAGAGGGGAGTTTGGGGGCTGGAAGGCTCCTGACCTGGACTTGGGTGCTTAGAGCCTCTTCTGCCCTCCGGGGAGGAGATACAGGTCTGGCAGGAGAAGGAGGAGGGGAGAGGGCTGTCCTGAGCAGAGGCTCACGGGCTCCAGGAGGAGTAGAAGAGTCTTGATCTGCCTTGCTGAGCTGTGTTTGGTCCAGGCACCTGCAGGGACAGTGATGGGAGGTTAAGATACCAAAGACCTCACCCTATCTCTGCTCCCAACCTTTCTCTACTCTGAAACCTTGGTTTTCCACTGTGTCCAATTAAGACAATGAGAGTTATTTTTAATAACCCAAGAAGAATGCTCAAGATGCTGCCAGAAAACATTTGAGGAAAGACTGAGACCAGCCCACCTGTTGGGGATGAAAATGCTGAATCCTGCCGTGTCTACCAGCCTTCTCTCCTGCAGGCACAAGCTTAGCCAGGCTGACTTCACCAGCTGAGCACCTGGGGGCAGCTGGGGCAGTCTAAGGATGCGGAGGGCTCGCTCATAGTCCATGCCTTCATCCACCACAATGTGAGTGACCCCTGCTGCCTGGGCAGGGCATATCTGGCCACCGTGCTGGATAATCTGCTTCTCGAAGACTTCTGCCCGGGCTCGCCCAATGCCAGTGGGCAGAACATGGGCCCGCAGGGAGCTCAGCCACTCTGTGGAGAGGACATCCAGATGCCTATTGTAACTTTCAGATATATCCCAATGAACCCTTTGCAGTCCCCTGCCCCTGGACAATCATTTCCCTTCCATCCAGACAGCCTTCATTCTGAAGATTCCACCCCAAGCATAGCTAATTTCCTCATAGCCATCACTTGAATGAAAGGGGCAAGGATTTTGATATGTCCTGTTTCCTCATGTAACCTAGAAGAGTGTCTGGCACATTGTAGGTATTCTATAAATCACTTCATCTGATCATTTATTCTTTCAACAATATTAATAGAAACCTACTACTATGTACTAGGCACAAGGCACACATGTTTGCCATTACAGGCCTCACAGTCTCAGAGATTCCCCCTCCCCATTCCCACGTAAGCCTTTGCCATCTATTTGTCAATTTGGCTGTAAAATAGCTTATAACTCTGGGAACCTGAGAGGAAAGGATTCTGCTGGTCATTTCTTTAGGGACCAAGGAGTATTTTCTGAGTGATGGAGGTCTTGGGGTGGGGTAGAAGATACCCCAGCCAGCAGCCTGTCAAAGACTGGAGACCAAGCCTATTGCAAGGCAGGTACAAACAAACCTGCAGGCCCTGGGTGGGCAGAGTCAGCTCTAACATCTGATTCTGAACATGAACAACGTAGGAATCCTGAGGGTTCAAGCACATGAGGGTTCTGAGATGGGTTTGCTCACCTCCTCCTGCTTCTCCGTGTTCCCTCTTGGGAATCTTTGCAAGTGCTTTTGATGGTGAATTGGTGTGAATTTTCTTCCGCTTGGGAAATGCCTTCAAGATACCCCTGGGGTCCATTGAGATATGGCTGGATCTTGTCCTTTCTGTTTGAGAGCTGATCACAGCAGCTGTTTTGTAGAAACCCAGAATTGAGGTTCCCCAAGCCCTCTGCCTATGGAGGTGGGATCTCTACCGATCAAGCCTTGAGGGCAGGAGCCCAGATCCCCGGGGTCTCCAAAAACCCAAGTGAACGTCAGTAGTTTAGCCTACCTCTACACTCACCAGCCTTTCAAAGTCAGAATATTGGGGTTATGGGCGGAAGAATGGGACTATTTGGGGAGCTTTTGAGAGTAAGGAAACGATATCATTCCTCAGTGGGGTTACTCTAAAGATTCAGTGCAGTGTCTGCCCCTGCTGCATCCCACTTCCAAAGGGCTTTACCAAAAGGGGATATCAGGCTAGGAAATGGAGCTACATCTTTAGGAAGCCCTTGCGCTCCCAAGAGGAGTGGAGACTGGGGGAAACCTGCACATAAACCCCACATAATCTTTCTCTATCCCCATCACAGACCCACAGAGGAAAACGAGGCGGGGGGCGGGGGAGATGTTAACGGGGCAGTGGGAACGCCCTGCACCTGCCTAGTCGCGGGCCTCTCGGCTCGGGGTGCTCAGTCCCGCAGCTGCAGGGAGACGGGGCCCGGCCGCAGCTGGGGTGGGGCGCCTTCCGGGATTGGGGAAGTTTTGGCCTCACAGCTGGGGGTAGAGAAGACTCCGGCAGGTGTGGGGTCTCCGCCGCGTACGCAGCTGGCGCGCATCAGGGACTCCCAGCTGGGGACTACAGGACGGCTGGAGCGTCGGGACCCTGCCCTGAGGGGGCCCAGCCCCCTCCCCACTCCCGGGATTTGGTCTAGGATGGGTTCAACTTCAGGCCGGGTTGGTCACCTGAGTGGGGCCAGGAAAAAACTACTTACCAAAGCAGCCAATGAGAGCAGGCGAAGGCGTGGGAGATGCGGTGGGGGTGGGGTGGGGCGGGAAGGACAAATGCCCAGAACACCTTCCGGGTCAGCCGGAAGTGACCCTAGGCAGAACGGTTGCCATGGCAGCGTCCGGGCACGCGGCTGGGCGGAGGGAAGATGGCGGTGACAGGCTGGTTGGGGAGTCTGCGGGCTGCCGAGAAGACGGCGCTACTGCAAGACGGTAACTTGAGGCCCCTCGCGAGCCCCCTCGTCCCTTCCCCCAGGGTCCTACCCTCAGTGCTGGCGCCTCCATGAAGGGCCTCACCCTGGGACGGCAGATCTGGAAGGGTCGCGGTCGCCAGCCAGGCCATGTCCTGCATTTGCAGATGAGGAAACTGAGGCCCAGAGAGATGATGTGATTGGCACACGCCTCTCTGGACATCCCCTGGTTTCCCATACACCGCCTCACTCCAGTCTGAGTTCTGTTACTAGTAAATAAGAATTCCTTTCCCATTCATTATATCATTTGCTCCTCACCGCTGTCCCGAGAGGCTAATATCCACCCCATTTTACAGAAGAGGAAACGGAAATCCAAGAAGATTTTAGACCAGCCTCAGCTCCCCCAGCCAGTCAGTAGTACAACTGGATCTTGACCTGGGATCCCATGAACCTCAATCTGGGGATTCTGTTGCTGAAGGCAGCCTGGTGTCATGGAGAGGCCGGAAACCTAGGCTTTATTTATGACTCTGCCATTAATTCACCATGGGCTCTCCATCCTGGCTGTTGACTTGTTTGGACTTCACTTTCCTCATCTGTAAAATGAGGCGGATGGGCTACCTCTCTTATCTCTGGGTCCTTTCCAGCTGTCATGTTATGTTTGTAAGTGAACCTCTAAATGTTCCCTGGGTCTTTAGGGGAGACAGCAAGGGCCCAAGGCTGTGCCTGGAAGAGGTGGGCACAGGGATATGGAATCTTGACTTTCTCTCACCCTAGGATTGGCCGGTGTGGGACTCCCTGTGCTTCAGGGTCCCTTCCTGGACGCACTTGACAGCCGGAATGAATTAGATCTGAATTCCTGTAGCTTTCAGGATACCAGCTAGGGACTCGCATCCATAGCCAGAAGCCAATCAGGGAAGCCTGGAAATTAAAAATCAGCTGCTCGTTCACTTACTCATTTATGCAGTATTTAGGGAGGCTTTTACTATGTGCCAACCTGTGTGCTAGAGAAGATAGAAAAAGACTCATTGTCCCAAGAGTTCACAGAGTGACCAGGAAAAAACACATGTAAATAAATAATAGTATGTGTTAAATAGAGACTGAAATCTTCTATAAAATGCTATGAGAGCAGGAAAGTGGAAATGATCAACTCTTTGAAGTAAGGTCTAACAGAAGAGGTGATGTTTATGGGTCCTGAAGAATTAATAGGTGTTTGGTAAGTAGAGAAGAGGGGATGGCTATTCTGGGAAGAATGACTCATGTAAAGGCATGGAGGTGTGAAAGTATATAGCTGATTACTAGGGGAGTAACAAAACATTTAGTGAGGCTGAACATTCACCCAGTCAGTCATTACAACCCCTCACACCGTGTCAGGTACTAGATGCTACGATGGCAGGGTGAATGAAAGGTCTCTTTTCTCAAGGATTAATGAGGGGAAATGGTGGAAAATGAAGAGAGATTGCAGATAAAGTGGGGTATGTTGTGATAGTTCTCCTATGCCAAGCTAAATTTTGGACATTCTCTCAGAGGACAGTGGCTTTTGTTTTTATTATAAAAAAGTACATAACATAGCACTTACCACTTTAGCCATTTTTAAGTGTACCTCTGTGGCATTAAGTCCATTCACAGTGTTGTGCAACCATCACCACCATCCATCTCCGGAAGTTTTTCATCTTCTTCAACAGAAACTGTATATCCATTAAACACTAACTCCTCATTCCCCCTATCCCGAGCCCCCGGCAACCACGATCCTACTTTCTCTCTTTATGAATTTGATTACTGTAGGAACCTCATAGAAGTGGAGTCATACAATGTTTGTTCTTTTGTGACTGGCTTATTTCATTTAGCATAATGTCCTCGAGGCTCATCCACGTTGTCACGTGTCAAAATTTCCTTCCTTTTTATCGCTGAATAATACCCCATTGTATGTATATACCACATTTTGTTTATCCATTCATCTGACAATGGACTCTTGGGTTGCTTTAGCTTTTTTAGCTATTCTGACTAACACTGCTATGGACATGAGTGTACAAATATCTGTTCGAGTCCCTGCTTTCACTTCTTTTGGTCACAGGACTGTTTAAACAAATATTTCATCAGCCAGGATTTTCTTAAGTTTTTTTATTAGTAGCATCACAAAACAATGTTATTAGATTTTTCTTTTCCAAACTGAAAATATATATATATACATATATGGATATGCTTTGTCAAACCTTTCCTGTAAATTTACCTTCCTGGTGTGTGCATGTATGGGTGGGGGATGTTACCTCCTTCCTACCAAGAATCACTGCTATTGTAATAAGAACCCAATACACTTTAAATTTTTTTCAGAAAAATATATATTTGTAGTGGAAATATTAAAAATAAATGTCTGGGGCCGGCTCCGTGGCTGAGTGGTTAAGTTCCTGGGCGCGGACATGGCACTGCTCGTCAAGCCACGTTGAGGCGGCGTCCCACATCCCACAACTAGAAGGACCTGCAACTAAGATATACAACTATGTATGGGGGTGGGGTTGGGGAGATAAAGCAGAAAAAAAAAAAAAAGATTGGCAACAGTTGTTAGCCCAGGTGCCAATCTTTAAAAAAAAATAAAAAATAAAAAATAAATGTCACCGATAGTCCTACCATCCAGAGGTAATCATAATTTACATTTTCTTTCATAAACTTCGATATTTTTCCCATGCATACACACTCACACATATGTTTTTTTCTTTTATGAAAATGTCATGCTAATATACTTAAAATTTGTTATATCCACATACACATATACGTATAGAATAAATATGTATAGAATAAAGTATAAATAAAATATAATGTTTGGGTAAGGGAGGATATTCTAAGCATAACTTCTGCGTAGTAAGGAAAAAATAGTTGACAATATAAAAATTAAACACTAGTTTGGGAAAACCCACTTTAAACAAAGTTATAAGGCAATTGAAATTGAGAGTATTTGCAACACATGTGACACATGGTTAATATATACAAAGCTCAATCAGATTAGTAAGAAAAAGATGAATACCCAAATAAAATAGGCTAAGGCCTAAATGGGTAATTCACTAGAAACATGACCAATAAACTCTTGGAACAGTGCTCAACCTTACAAATATTTAAAGCTATACAAATTATTCTAGCATGGTTATTAGAGCATGTACTTTGGCCTCAAGTGAGTTTCACCTTCAGTCTGTCATTTCCTAGCTTTATGACCTTGGACAAGTTGCATGCCTTTTAAACCTCAATTTTTCTCATTTGTGAAATACAGGTAATGGGGGCACGTGGGATTATTGTGAGAATTAAATGGAATAAAACATGTAAAGTGCCTGGCCAATAGTTAGCACTGCGTCCTTAGACTCACAGCTGGACTGCAGGGAGAGAAGAGGGTCAGGCCAGACCCCCTCAGCTACTCACAGGCAGCACCTTGTACCCCACTTCTGACAGGAAAACCCCCTTCAGCGCTATGAGCCATCCAAGTGATTAAGGGTGGTGTGAACTAGGGGCCTGCTGAGAGTCCCCGCAGATTTGGGGGGAATTTTCCTAGAATACAAATTAGGAACGACTCAAGGGAACTGTGTCCCAGGGTAGTGAATTGGACAGGAAAAAGGCTTGGTAGAGCAGATACAGTTGCAAGTTTTAACTAGTGGCAGCTTTAGCTTGTTGGGGACCTTGGGACTCTTATTCATCAGACATACTTTGGGAACCTGTCTCCTAGGCATTTGTTATTAGTCTCACTGAGGAGCCTACCTATATCTACTTACCTGTCTCTAAAAATAGGGGAAATTACTTAGTCACTTTTAAGAAAATGCTTATAATTATACTAGGTAGGTCAAAGAGTTGGGCTAGGAGACTCCCTTAGGTTCTTCCATGTTTTCAATGAAAGACGAATCAGTGTTCACTTGTTCTTTCATCAGTAGTTAGTTGGGCCCATAATATATGCCAGGTACTATGCTCGGTGTTAGGGAAACCATAGGCAGGGGGGATAAAACCACTCTTGTCTAGTAGAAGAGACAGGCAGTAATCAAAGAATCACACAAATAGGTGTAAAATCATAACCAAGGTAAAAACCCTGAAGAAAACACATGGGAACTAACATCGTTTGGCTATGTAATAGGAATGGCCTAGAAATGTGCAAAAGAATGCAGAGTGATGGCACGGCTAAAGGGAGTGCTCAGTCAATATCCTGTTCCATATCCTGAGCACATCAGCTGGGGAGAGAAAGGTAGATATTGTATCATTCCTAGGGAGACAGATGCTTTTAAGAGTATCACACTATGTGACAAATGCTCCATTATGGATATGAATAAAGCACTAGGGAGGCACAAAAAACAAGGCAGCAATGAGTTTTGCCAATGTGCCTGGGGGTGATAGTCTAGGAAGACTTCCCAGTGGAAGTGACATTTGAGCTGGATTTTGAAGAGTGAGGAGTTCAACAGATGGGAAGAAGTATGGAGCCTTTGCTGGTAGAGGAAACCACAAAGCAAAGACATGTTCAGAGAAAGCTTCAGAAAGGAAGTGAGTTCCAGGACACGTCTTAAAGTAATGGTAGGCGATGGTTGGCAAGGAGTTCGTGGGAGGCTCTGGGAGGGTTTCTCAGTACCACCAAGGCTGTCGGTGTTTCCCAGATAGAGCCCTTGATCTGCAAGGGGCAAAACAAGAGGAGGCTTGGGGGTAAGGCACTCTCTGCTTTGTGCGTAGGGAGAAGGAAGGTGCACTATTTGTTCCCAGATGGGAAGGAGATGGCCGAAGAATATGATGAGAAGACGAGTGAACTACTTGGTAAGTGACAGGGCCCCCAGTGGGCCCTTAGGAACACTTGGGATGACCTAAACACAGGTAAACACTCCCAGCCTGAGGCTTAAGGGAAGAGC